TTTCTTAATCCTACACACAGTCGGTAGGACTCCTTGGACGGGGGATCAGCCCGTCGTAAGGCCGCTACCTACACACAGAACACAAGTACAGAATAAACGCACAGACATGCATGCCTTGAGTTGGATTCGAACTCACGGCCCCAGTTTTCGAGAAGGCGAAGAAGGTCCATTCCTTAGACCGTGCCGCTACTGTGGTCGGCAACTACGTCAAATACCACGATTTAATTTTCAAAGAGCCTCGTACTTTTGGTGAACCGATTTCGTTACATTGCCCTCCCTGAACGAGCGTGCAAATGCTGTAAGTTGAAACACTCCAAACGCACAGCCGCCTTGTGTTTGAGAACCATGAAATGCCTGATGAGGGTGAAGGTTGGGGAAGGGAGGGCTGTGGCCAAACTCCCAGACATGTCCCAAAACTTCAGCCATACCGCAACATGATTGAATCATGTCAGTTTAGTTTCTGGGTCGCTTTATTTCTATTACAGTGTTGGCGGAAGACAAGCAGACCGAGTGAAGCTAGGAGTGGAGTTGGAAACCAGAGAACGGACACAGCGCGTTTGGTCATCAAATGTAGCATACAAAGGCATGGCTACTGCTGTATTTCTTTTAAGTTTCAGACCTAAATTCTGAATTACAACTAGTGTTCCTTATCTTTGTGACGAAATAATTTGTTATGATTAACCCTTTAAAACAGGAGACGTTTATGGAGGTAGGCCTAGGCCCACTGGGGCTGTAGTGTCAAGGGGAAAAAGAACAATTTTAAGGCCCAGTGATTACCATACACGTATATACCCACCTGCGTCATCATTCTGCCCACACGGTGTATCTGTATGTTTCATATGGTTCTCACAATAAGCAGCGATTATTTCCCTAAACAGCATTAAGAGTAAAGGCTTTGTGGTGGAGACGTAAAGTGTTTTCTTTGAGGTACGAACTGAATTTATATATATTGATTACATGAAATTCAGTCTTTATCTAATTTATACGTAGCCCTCCCATTGGTAACGTCAAAATTTCGCCCTAATGTTAGCCCTCCCAATGTTATATTAAATTTCGCTATAATGCATCCCTTATAGCGGCATATAAAGATTAATTCCGATCATATGCATTTCCTCTACAAGAAAGACAAGCGGGCACTGCCTGGGATCCTCAAACCTGGAAAAATATTTTATTGTTCCCCCCCCCCTCCCACAATGTAGTGTATCTCACTACCTCGCCACTTTTCTCTTCTTCTTCTTATCCCTCTCGCTCTCGTCATATTTGAGGGTTAATTAAACGAAGTTCTGAAAGGGGGTTGGAGAAAACTGCATAATGACCCCGTTCCATACCCACTACTGCTCAGAAAATCTGGTAGCGTCGCGAATCACACCCAGGACCTCTGGATCTGTAGCCAGGAACTCTGACCACTAGACAACAGAGGCGGTCCTTTTCAACGAATAGGAGATGAATTATAGTTGAAGTTGCCATAAACCATCTTTTCTAGCCCCCGAATTAGAGTAAGTATCTTTAAACTGTGATTAATTATAAGCATCCTTCGATTATTAAGAATATAACCAGGGAGCATGCGCGTATATTTTATTTGTATGCATTTCTGATAATCGTAGTTAATCAGATATTTTAAATTTGTGATATATATGTAACAGAACTTGTTTCGTTGCTTTTTCCACTGAAATCGCCTGCGGATTATCTGGTGGACCGCAGCGGACCTCATTTTCAGGGTAGAAGTCTGTCTGTAGATGGCAGTAGCAGATTTCTCAGGAACGCCGTTAACCATGTAGCACAGCACATGACGTCACAAACTAAAACACCTTAATCTTAGTAGAAAATTCATAAACATGAATGTAATGTGACGTATATACTCATTGCTAGGCAACGGCTCTGTAAACACATTCCAACAACATGCGCGCACGCGACAATAGGACGCCCTTTGCTAGGTAAACGGACCAACAAACACGTATTATTTACAATAGAATGCGGTATTTTCCATGGAATCTGCCTCGAGACTATATAACGAAGATCTCAAGCAGCTAGAATTAGAATTGGGTCTAGTTCTGGAGATGGCAGTCCAATGTGATTGAGAAGAAATGGCAAGAGAGGAATTAGTCTGTGAAAAGAAGACTTCATGTGTGAGTTGAAATACATCCGTTGTCAGGATACGACTAGTGAGGACTGAGAACCCTAGTGCATGTGGAACGGTGGTGTGGAAGTGTGTAGAATAGCGATAGCGCTGTAGTTCCCATAGTCCTGAGTTCTGTGAATGTATAAGGTACAATAAAGCCAATTATCCAATACAAAATCGTTTTGACAAGTCATCCCCACACGTGACAGTATTCATGAGATTGGTGTAATACATGAGCAACTTTATTCCGTTTATTTTAAGGAAATCAAAAGGGGAAAAGTATCCTTTCGCTGGTCATTAATAAAAATTATGGCTTCATTGCCCTGCAAACAAATGTATGTTTTCGTTTACCGAATTAAACTCGGCAATGAACACTTAAAACTGTCAGGTACCCAAGAGCAGTTGCACATTGCTCACTCTGTTAGCACAGAGCTGTCCAAGTGCCTTATAATTAGTTTCATCCACTGATATAAACACGTACAAATAGCCCATATTACAATACTTTGTCATAATAGCATTTAGTAGTCTGTCCATATACTGTTTCCAACTGGTGTGTGACGTCACTACCTGATGGTATCAAATTGTATTACACAACAGTTAAACCATTTCACATCATGTACAGTTTCTAACGTAAATAATCCTCTGTTTTTCGATGTTATTTGAGTGTTTATAATTTCATTGGTTGAAGGGGAATGAAGTTTCATAAAACTCGTAAGTAGACTAATAAAAAGTAAAAGTATCCCTGTAACAGTGGAGGCCCATAGGGTTGTGAGATGTTGAGGTTCACACATTTTTTAAACAATCGGCTCATATATGGCAGCAAGGTTGTCAGCTCTACACTCCGGCTGCCCTTTACCCCCAAGAATATTCCAAAAATATTTCCTTATACTCATTTATGTTAGAGGCTGAGTCGACCCCAGGGCCATAGTGCGGCTGGAAGGATTAGGTCAATTGAAAAAAATCCAATGACATCATCCGGACTCGAACCCGCGACCTTCCATCATAAAACTAGTACAGAGAGTCTGTTGGATGAATGCGTGCATATAAATAAAGTATGAATCCCGTGTATTAAATCATTCAGGGCCAGAGAACAAACACGGAGAAAATGGCTGAACATCCATATTCTGTTGGAGATTGCAAACCGTTATTGAGAATATCTTTAAACCTTCTTTTTAGTTCCTTGGAGTGGGGTGAGACTGGGTCCACTTGGTACGTCGGCCACTAATTGGCCTGTTGTACCAGCCCCGGATGATAGATGATGAGTGTGGAGCAGTCGGTGGAATGAGAACTGGCAGGGGAAACCGAAGTAGTCGGAGAAAACCTGCCCCAGTGCCACTTTGTCCACCACTAATTCCATATAACCTGACCCGGCCTCGAATTCGGGCCGTCGCGGTGGGAAGCAGGCAACTAACCGCCTGAGCTATGGCACGGCCCTCTTTAAACATTTCTATCACAAATTTAATCTAAACAACATTTAAACAAAAACCGCGTTACGCCTACATTACAAAGACCAGCTGATGTCTACTAACTTAATTTTGATTGAAATTAGTAAATTTAGAATGGGACTACCACTTTAGATTAAATAGTAATTGAAATACAACTCTTTAAATCCCTCTTTAGGCGCTCTCGAAGGAACTGCGAAAAACACCTATTAGCTTCGTAATGTCTGTCTGTCTGTCTGTCTCTCTCTTTCCGTCTCTCCGTCAGTCCTTCCGTCCTTTTGTCTGTCCTTCCGTCCTTTTGTCTGTCCGTATGAAACAACTCGGCTCCCACTGGTGGGATTTTCTGAACACTTCATATCAAGGAGTTTTATTGAAATCTGTCGGCATGACTCTGTTTTGGTTTAAATCGGGCAAAAGTGAGAGGCTTTTGACGCGAAGATCCAAAGGCATTTTTTAGTATCTCGCTCTCCCCCCCCCACTACTGTACTGACGTGAGTACAGTGGGGTTGCCATGGAAGCGAAGCCATGGACTTACCATTTAGTAATTTCACAGATGAAATATCTTGAAGCCCCACAAATGTCGCATTTCCAGTTCTGTTCATAATCTGGGTTTCCTGCTGAAAATAAAAATCCCAGAGGGAAATTAAATATTTTGAACCAAAATCGTCACTAGATCGTGGCTATTTGAGTTGTGACTCTGCATAGAATGGTGAAATGTTTCGGAGACGTTTCGGACGTTTCGGAGAAACCTACAACCTTCATTTTCAGGCTAGAAGAACTTCTAGCTCGAAGATGGAATACACGGTTTCATAACCCAGAAGACGCCAAAACCTCAAACCTCATACAAAATCAATGTATGGATTTTGGCGCTGCAATAACATTAGCAATTAGGTTATGGGCTGTATAACCCAGGAGCCCAGGAGTCTGCGTTCGATTGCCGTGAGGAGCGAAGGATTTATCTCATCTCCACAGCTTTCAGACTTGCTCTAGGGACCGCCAAACTTATCCGATAGCTCTCGGGGTGCCCCTTCCCCAGAAGTAAAAAATCCGGGACGTGAAGCTGAACACTCAACTGTATCCACTACAAGATGAGATTTGGTATAAATGGAGCTGTACCTGCACACCACCTTAATCAATTAAATACATTCTGAGTTGTATTTAGAATCGTATGGTTAAGTATTAGGTGTGACATAATTTTTAAAGGTATAATTTGTAGATAAATTTATTCAAGAATCCCGTATATTAAAATTCAGATGCCTGATACTCCTAAGCATATATGGATGTGTGCTACAGGATGACTGAAGCATGGAAATAAACATTATTTGATACGACCTGTGGTACCTGTCCAGAAAGAGTTATGATACGGAAGTGGAAAAGAATTTTTTCACTCCTCTAGGGAAGTTTGATTTCTCTCGCTTCTCGTTGTGGCCAGCCTGTACTGTAACAGACATGGTGGACATGGAATGAAGTGAATGTGTACAATTATTGTTTTGACGTTGTTTAATATATGTTTTAGAAAAATGGGCAGTCCCAACCTGCATAAAATATGCCGGTTATGTATGTCACAAACGGGAGTGATGGTACAAATCTTTGAAACACCTGAAACAAAAGAGCAATCTGTCCCGTTGCCAGTCAGAATAATGATGTGTGTTTCTATTAAGGTTAGTTTACTAGCTGATGAATATGTGTTTTGCTGTAATATGTTTCGACGAATAATGTTCATACTCGTTTAAGTGGCGGATGAGCTAAGAGGTTTTTATTAATTATTCATATTATTAATCTTGTACTGTAGTAATTAATTAAACTGTTATGAACTGTCAAACAACCTAATATGACTTGGGTTTTCATGAAAGAAAACTGGGATCATAAACTTATTCCTTAGTTAAGTGCATGTAATTGTTTGAATGTATAAAATGTAATAAATGTTGTAATAAGCTGGAATACCTTGTTTATGAAACAAAAAAATATATATATATAATTGGTTCATCTGTTAAATCTGATTGCTTTAATCAGGTAATGGCAGGCGATGGCCTCCCTTCGAGGATATGCCGTCAATGTATTCGTCAACTGGACAGGTGGTATGCTTTCAAACAGAAATGTGAGAATTCAGATGTTGCACTGCGTCAGTTTGCCATAAAACTAAAGCCTGAATTGGTCTCTGTAAAGGTGAGGATTGCTTGTAAAATATTACTTACTGCTAAACGGAAGTTATAATCCATTTCAAAGGTATACTGAAAATTCTGAGTTCAAAAGTGTATTGAAAGTCACTGTTGAGAAGTCTGATACATTCTGATGTACTTCTGTAGGTATGCTGTACATTGTCAAAGCATAAAAGCTTACTGCCAATCCTCATTATTTCTTTAAACTGTATTTATGCTCTACATGTAACATGGTATAAAGTAAAAACGTAAAGCTATCCCTGTACCAGGCCGCGAAGGCCCGTAGGGTTGTGAGACATTGAGGGTCCCACATTATCTAGACAATCGGCTCAAGAATGGCAGTAAGGTTGTCAGCCTTACGCGCCGGCCGCGCTTTAGTCCCCAGGAAAATTATTTAATTAATTCCTGGTACTCATTTCTGTTAGAGTCTGAGTTGATCCCAGGGCCATAATGTAGCTGGAAGGGTTAGGTCAATTGAAAAAAATTCAATGACCTCATCAGAACTTGAACCCACGACCTTCCAGATTGTAGCATAGTGCCTCAACCACTACGCTACCGCGCACCCCCCTACATGGTATAAGTAAGTAAAGTAAAGCTATCCCTGTAACAGGCCGTGAAGGCCCATAGGGTTGTGAGACGTGAAGGGTCCCACATTACCTTGACAGTCGGCTCAAAGATGGCAGTAAGGTTGTCAGCCGTACGTACCGGCCGCGCTTCACTCCCCAGGAAAATTATTTAATTAATTCCTGGTACTCATTTCTGTTAGAGGCTGAGTAAACCCCAGGGCCTAGTGTGGCCAGATGGTATGCGTTATTTAATCCTTTTAATGCAAGCTTCCGAAGCTAGCGTATACTAAAAGTACCAAGACCATTTGGCTGAAATTACAAACCTTGAAGAAAAAAATCTCTGCTTACTACAGATTCAATGACAGATACCTGAAATATTTTGCAGTCCTTGACAAGACCTTGCAGAATACATATTACTTCAAAAACGTTTTGATTACAATTCCTGCACACAAAAGGATGTTATGTGTAGAATTTTTGAATCATAAATTTAAGTTTGAAATTTAGTGTTAACTTCCATACACCGAATTTACTTGTAATTGTGTTGTACTAATTGTAAGGATGGTTTTTATGATGTTCCAAAGACAGGAGTTCTGGGATATAACACCATGTAGTCCATTGTATCCATTATATTGCAAATGTTAGAACTCCTCATAACCACTGCCATGAGGACCTCATATCCTACATTTCACAAGACAGTTCAGTAGTGCCACATATTTTTCAAAAGCACTGCACCTTTCCATCTGTTGTTGGTATATAGTATATTTATGCGTTCTTAGTTGTTATCTGTTGAAGGTTTCAGATTTATATAAGTCTGATGATAAAGGTGTCCACACTGTGGCCCTGGGGTCGACTCAGCCTCTAACAGAAATGTGTACCGGGAATTAATTAAATAATTTTCCTGGGGAGTAAAGCACAGCCGGTGCGTAAGGCTGACAACTTTACCGCCATCTTTGAGCCGATTGTCAAGGTAATGTGAGACCCTTAACGTCTCACAACCCTATGATCCTTCCCGGCCTGTTACAGGGATAGCTTTACTTTACTGATGATAAAGGTGTGGAGCTTTTCTCTGAACTAAATACTACCTAGTGACACGCACAGCATTAGAGAAACTTTCAATTAATGTACAGATTTTTATTTTATTTATTTATTTATTTTTTTATTTTTTTTGTAATTTATAACTTAGAGAAATAAATTTTATATTTTTGAAGAGTTCCATACACTGAACTTTGTTGAAACAGAGTTTTATATTGCACTGATCAACCGATGTGTTTCATATTTTTGTAATGTTTCTACAAGACAGATTATGAGTTTCGCAGATTTGGGAGAAGGTCTACACACAGTTGAATGATGGTTTGTATGAATGCATAGAAAAGACGCTCTCTGTGAAGCTTCTTCTTACAGTTAACCACATACTCTTCCATATCTCCTTTTCCCTCACCATACTTAGCATTTTTACTGTACGCACAGAAGTCGTCCTGTTTACTTGACGGTTTCCCATGGCTCAAGTCTGGAATATGCAGAGTTTGAATGGATGAGATGTGAAGGAGACCATTATGAAAAACCTAATCATGAAGAAGCAGAGATAGTTCTCCATTTTCAATAATTTGCACAAAGCACAAGGTTGGCAAGATTTCTTCCATCCAGTAAATGGAAAACTGTAGTGTAACTTGGCAAAGGTTTCTTGAAAAACATATCATGAAACCAAGCAACACTTTGATATTCTTGTATACCAGTAAGATGAAATTGTTGGTCTTACTATGATTTTCATGTTCAACAAACAGGTAACAAAGCTTTCATTTCACCCAAAGTAACAATGGGGTGGGGTCCACTCAGCCTTGTGAGGATAATTGAGGATCTGTTTCAAGGAAATAGTGGCTCCGGTCTAGAAAACTGAAATTAATAGCCATGGAGATTCATTGCACTTACCGGGCGACACCATCCGTCCGCTAAAGTTGGCAGTAACTTCGCCAACAAGCAGCAGTTGCTCAGTCGGTATAGTTTGCTTGCGGACTAAAACCATGGAGTTTGTTCTTATTACTCTTGAATCAGAAGGATCACAGTGGGTTTGAAAGAAAAGCTGTGCATACTCGCAGGGCAACAATCAGATAAAATTAAAGCACAGGGGCAACAGTTGTAGGTTGGGCATGTTTTGGTCACCATAGCCTTCGATACTGTATGAATGTTGGCCTGCAGCTAATTGTCATTGTCACCAATAATTTCTTCACGTTACTATCACATTTTTAGTTATGGCTATCAGTAGTTCCAGTATCAGAACCCACACGGAAAACTCGAACCATCACACCTTGACACACATGATGGATGCGGTCATGTGTGTCCTTTATCTGGGAGGGCTTGGTGTTTTCTAATCACAGTCGTGTGTTAAGTTTGTTATCTTCCACACCCTCACTTTACACAGCACTTATATACAGATCCTCATTTTCCTCTAAAGCTTCATTTCTGTGCTCATCTCTTTTGAAGCCATGAGTCATCTTGCTCTAAATAATATGCATGCACATGTAAATCTAAATGCCCAACTCAGCATCAAACTGCGTGAAGCAAGGTTATCCTGAAATACCAACTACTAGTGTATAAAACAGTGGCCAGTTGAACAACTGATGGCATCTTTAACAGAACACCTGCCATTCAGTACAAAAATGGTTAATAAAGAACAGTTCGAAATATTGATATTCCATCCATTGCACCCTGTTCAAATTTAGTATTCATTAATCATCCTATCATTTGGTACTGTATTGCCTGAGTGACTTACAGCGTCCATAAATAAATCATAAGTAAATAAAAATACATCCTCATATGCACATTTCCTGTAATAATTTTCTGCATTTTTACCTTCAGTGCTCACTCACTGTAAGTGACTGTGAATTGCATTGGATTATTTATCCTTTTGATGTGTGATATGTTGAACTTGAATGCAAGGACATTGCTAGATATCTTGTGGGACTCGTAGAAATGCATGGTCCAAGTCCTGATATTTCACTTATTTCCTTGGCTGTACATAAGGCACTGTTTGCCCATACATTTGTTACAGGATGAATGTGAAGATACAGATGGTATTGGTAATTATAATAATAATGGTGATGATGATGATGGAATTGAAGAGGCTGAAGATAAACTGAAGATAGAATTAAATGAGGAACAAGGCAGTTTAGATATTGATACAGATGATAAATATGATGAAAATGATTCGTAAGTATATAAATTATTTTTATGATTTAGCGACATTATTTTCTAGAAACTTAGTCATTTAAAATATATGTATGATATTGTAACAATATTGTTGCATATATCAGTGACTGCAGATGGGGTTTGGGTTGGTGAATAGATTTATTGCCCACTTACAGGCCATAACTATGAATAATTATATAATATAATATAATAATAGTATTCATAACTATGAATAATTACTGGTTTACACACTCTAAAGATTATTGTTACTATGGCACACAAAATAAAGTCTTCTGTATCTGCTTTCACTAGTCGTTGCTGCGTAACAGGTCTCAACAATGGCTATTCCTTTACGGTGTTTTCACTGTCTGTTTCCTGGCAATAGATTTTAACACAGGAACTATAACAAATCACAATCCAGAGGAAACTGTACTAAAGCACACATTAAGTCTTCACATGCTGACTTCTAATTCTTCTTCCACTACTAATTTCTTGTGGCTATCCTCCCAATGAATGAACTGAACTCCCATTCCTGTATTCTCTTATATAGTCACAGCATGGACCACACAACACAGAAAAAGCAGCCTCAGCACAGACCTGCAGAAAACACCTGTCTTCATCACTTCTTCTATTGTATGACATCACTGTGCACACAAGAATGTATTTAGTGTGCATTGCATAGCAACAGTTGGTTTGCAGACCACAGAAAACACTGCTCTTATATTGTTGGATGCAAGTTTACAGCTCCGTTTCCCAGCAGTGGGTTGATATGTCACAGCATCATGAATCACATATTGCAGTTGGAATCATAATTTATTTAAATTTAATCCACTAATTGTGTTATACAAACAGACATCCAAATTGAATAGTTAGTACTGTTATTTCATATTCTGGGAGTTCTGAATTCAAATCTTGGACCAAATATGTTCCAAAACCAAAATTGTATATGCTTTTCTAATTTCCCAATCTGAGCTCATGTTCAGTCTTACTGATGCTGTGAAAATAAAGCAGTAAGTAAGGTAAATTCTTTTAATTTTAAGTTACCTTTGTATTGGCAGGTTACAATCACAAATGAATTCCTCAGCAGAAGAAGGTGATGGCTCAGGTCCTGGAGAAGAGGTGAGTCCACAAGGAGGGAGAGGCACTGCCAAGAAGAAACGGTCAGGGAATCGTACTCATCAGTGTGATGTTTGCCAAAAAGTGTTCACACAGGCTGGAGACCTTCAGATTCATAAACGCATTCATTCAGGAGAACGACCTTATATCTGCGACAGCTGTGGGAAAAGCTTTCCTTCATCATCAAATTTAGCTCGGCATAAACGCACACATTCTGGCGAACGTCCATTTGCATGTCCACTTTGTGCCAAGCGCTTCTCAGTTCGTAGTGCTCTGCGGGAACATGAGAATGTTCATTCAGGTAAAAAACGTTTTTTATGTCAGGAATGTGGGAAAAGTTTTGCTCAGAAAGGTAATTTGAAGATTCATGAAATGCTTCATACAGGGGAGAAACCACATGCTTGTCAGGTATGTGGAAAATGCTTTGCTCTTCGTGGTAATCTGAAGGACCACCTTAATATTCACTCACGTGAACGTCCCTTCCAGTGTATTCAGTGCTCTAAAAGGTTTACACAACGCTCCACTCTCAAGGAACACCTAAAAGTGCATTCTGGGGAACGACCATTTCCATGCCTTCTTTGTGGCAAAAGCTTTGCATACCGTAAAACATTAAAAATACACATGAACATTCACACTGGGGAAAAACCCCATCAGTGTCATCTTTGCAGCAAGAGTTTCTCTGAGCGCAGTCATGTAAAGCGACATATGAAGATACACAGCCTTGTGTAACATTTTATTTGCTTTTAATATTTGCTGCTGCAGTAATGATGACAGTATTAAGAGACAAAAGGGAGGAAAAGAACTGAGACTGTAAATGGTCATGGCATTTGGAAGGTGCAGGGTTCAAGTCTCTGTCTAGAGATTGGCCATCCTTAGTGCCGTATTTTTTTGGCTGTCCCCGGAGAACCATCTTGCTGATGTGTAGAAACATTTTTCGAAGAAACATGGAAGCAGAAGGTTGGAACTCTGAGACTTCTTTAAATTAAGATGAGCTACAGTTGAGTGAATATTGAGCCATGAAACCTTAGCACCTGCTCTGCCACAGTGTGGGAAGCGTGCTGTAACACCTTACAGCAACAGTCAGAATTACTGGGCTTTTTGTACTTTGTCCATCATCTGGTATTATAAAAACTAGAGAACAAAACGTTTTGGAAACTGGATCTGTTTCCATCCTCAGGATGGAGCATTCTCTGTAGACCACTGCCTGACAATCACTATTATACTTTGTAGGAGTGAACTGTAATTATGTTTCCATCACCATAAGCCCAACACAATAATATAACACCCCCTGCAACATCAACTTTAGTATGAGATGAGAGATCTTTGCCCAACCTGATGGTCCATGTTCTTGAGGAAAGAGCACCTGGTATCTCTTGAATAGGAGGCTGAATGAGGCCCAGAGCTCGTTCCAGACACAGTGATGAACAGAAAATGTACCATTGCCAGAAATCAAACCCTGCTCACCCAGTCTGTAGACAGTCAACTGAATGAGCTGTCATGAGTCTGTATAGATTACAGAAACTAGTAAATATTAATTTAAAATATTTAATTTGCTGTATCCAAGGCAAACAGCCAAGCAGTCAGTGAGGAAGCAGTGGGCTGGTTGAATAGACAACAGTAATGTAATTTAAATGTTCTTAGAACCGTGGTTGTACAGTTTCAGGGGTTTAGTACCATGTTAGTTGTAGCTGTCAAGTGCTTTATATTTCTTTTGGCCCAGAGGGAGCACAGTCTCACAGTGCAGCCTCATCTCTTATCCTCTCCTCTCTCTAGATCCTACCCCAGTCCACTGACGGCCATACTCATGATGACCACAATTCAGGCCAACTCATCTTCATACACATTTCGTGATAGTTTGCCTTGCTACATAAACTTATGTACATAGGGTGAGGTTCAGGTACAGAGTCTACTCATGCGTCACTAGCAAAGATATTTTGTGAGACCATAATAAAGTGAATATTGGTTTGAGATTTGGAGTTCTCACAGCAGTAGCTATTACAGTTACTGACATCTGAGATGTGATGCCATCTAAACTGGTAAGCAGGTACATATCTCCTAGAACAGGGTTTCCCTGGGTGCCCTGAAGCTTTCTTCCACAGGCCTCCAAAAATGCTAAAGGTCTGATTATAATACAAGGTAATTCATAAGTCCCTCCAGAACTTCCAAACTTGGCAGTGCCACAAGGAAGACAGACACACCAGAAAGGAGCATGTAAGTAGATAAGGAATCTCTCCAAGTTTGTTTGGGTAATAGGCACCATGGCGTACTTGCAGGTTTCACCACTAGGGTGCAGTCATGATGAAACATGTCGAGGACAAGGGATAAGAAAGAGTNGAACTTATGAATGTCAAAGGCCCCGGCCAGCCTGTTTGTTTTGCAGTGCGTATGCAGCCACTCTGCTGGAATTTCTTACACCACTCACGAATTGTTTTGTCCATAGGTGGTTCTTTGTGGTACTTGGTCCAAAACCTCCGCTGCACCATCACAGTTGACTGAAGTTTTGGCAAATTCCATGACACAGTACATTTTCTTATCCCCTGTCCTCACCATATTTCATCATGACTGCCCCCTAGCATTGAAACCTGCAACTATGCTGTGTGCTGTGGTGCCTATTATCCAAACATGGGGACATTCTCTACCTACCGATATGCTCCTTTCTTCTGTATCTGTCTTGGTTGTTGAGCTGCCAAGTTCAGAAATTCTTGAGGGACATCCGAATTGCTCTGTATATACAAACTGATAAGAAAAAACTGCATTAAATTATCAGCATACATTGTGACAGGCAAAGAACTTCATAGTTGTATTTAAGATTCACTAGTAATTATTATTTTTATATTGCTAAATCATATTGAAGCCAATTTTTTTTATAGTTTTTGGGGTCTCAAACATTGTTTAACATTTAAAGCCTGAGGTTTTAAAAAAGTCTGGTAATAGAGTACACATCCCAGAAGACCAGCAATCTAGTGTTTCTTGATTTTTTGATGCTGCTTTCTGGTAACAAAATACAGCTGCTTCTGTGGCTAAGCACCATGTCATGAAGGCACATAACAGTGAGTGAAAGTAAACGTCTACATGGTGGCAACCTTGGCTCAAGTGGGAGTGCATAGTCAGCTTCACGCTCCAGCCACTTCCCTGAGAAAGTGCTGCCAGGTACCTGTTGGATGACAGGGCAAGTGAGCCCCAGAGGTGATCTTGACATGACAGTACAGAAGAATATTTAAGGTCCTGCTCTGAATGGATTCCAGATAATCGAGCCCATGTCAGTTAACTGAGCTACCTCAGCTTGTTTTGCCTACAATACAAATGAGAAATACGAATACTGTATTTAGTTCTAATTTTTGTAAATATGATAGAGATTATGTTAGATTTGAGGTTCTCACAGTGATGACTGAAGAATGTGATCTTACGGGTTGTAACACTGTATAGTGTGGTACAAATCTACAGACATTTCAGAGAAACATATTACTTCCATCTTCAGGGTCAAAGAGTTGAGTGAAGCAAGAATCAGACAGCAAGCAGAGCTGATTTCTTTCTTGGCTTACACTTCAACCCTGAATATAAAAGCAGTCCATTCTGTGAAATTTTGGCAGACATGCACATGGTGTTATGACCCAGAAGATGGTACTCCACATGGTAGAAACTGTTTTAAAGAACTAAAGCTGTACAGTAATGAGTACTCATCCTTGAAGGATTTTGCACTGACTATAATAAACAATATGGGGAAATACAAATAATGTAACAAAGATTTTTTAAATCTGATTATTATAATTGTTCATGCTGAAGTAGTTTGTGCCGTTGTCAGTATTTGACATTTTGTATGGTTGTGTTATTACAAAGATTCTTTGTCATGAATTCCTTCTAATTTGTTTTAACAGTAAGCTGTAAACATGACAGTCTTTTTTGAACATTGCCATTGCTTTAAAAGAAATATATTACATATTTACACTGTTGCTACCAGGGCTGGCATGAGTCTACATGTATGCCACCTCAGGCAATGAGAAATCCCCCTCTACCAGTTAGAAGCAGATCATGTTTCTCCAAACTTCATCATAGTTAACAACAGAAAATTTTCAGACATTTGCATAAACCACCATTGGCACAGTACTTCTTAAAACAGCTTTATTTACATTATTGCATAATACATAATGGTCATTGTATGATCAAATGATCATGATAAATGTTCATTTAACACACACAGTCTGTAGAATGTTCTGCCTCTACAAATGTACTGCCACAGGTGTCCGCTTGGTTCACCCACGCTGTTAGGCCAGCTCTGGTCATACAGTCGTGAACTGTGAACTTATGGATATTCCTTTAAGTAATTCCATAGTAAGATGTTTTGTTGAGTATTTTTCAACTTTGAAATATATTGTTTTAGTAAATATTTAAATGTTTAATACTGAAAATCCTATTTTCATTTTACCTTCCTGAATTCCATATTCCCATATAGATGTTGCAAATTCAGTCTTCTGAGTTTATAGCATCTTCTTAATAACTGTAGTTCCTAACCCCTTCAATGTAAGCTCAGTTATATATGCTAGGTATGCAACTCTGTGTTGTGTTACCCCAAGTCCAGTCTTGGCCCCAGTATATAATTTATTTTAATGCCTACTTTAGAGACAATATTTTGCATGTGTTTTATTTATAATTCACATGACATTATAGGCAGTAAGATAGCTCTTTATTTTGTAACAGAAATATTTCAGTTATTTCTTTCATGATACTTTCAAGTCAGAGATTGTCAGATTGTAACAGAAAGAATTATGAACCTTACATAGATTCAAAGACACAGGCAATATGGACGCATGATGTTACACTGAATCTTCAAACTGTGTTTGAGATGGTCTTATAATGTGGTCTTTTAGAAAACTGCTTGCTTCTTGGTACTATAGACATCGTAAAACCTAGGCCTCCTTTTGTGACAACTGCCCATTCATCCATATTATTTTCCTTTTACCTCCATCATTCACTTTCAGCTGTCATAGAACATTGTCTGCATCTTCCAGCCACCAAGAAATCTGTCTGAAGTATGAGTAATACTTTTGAAGGTAAAAATATAAAGTCCCTGTACTGAATTAATTAAGCACCATGCTATGAAGTCATATAGGGGAGTGAAGGTATAGTGCCCCCCTGTTCTTGGCCTCAGTGCTAGACGTTGAGTGGTCAACATCATGCCCTGGCCACTTCACCCCTGGTGTCCAGTGGATAGGAGGCTGGCTGGTCCCAAAGCCCTTCTGGACACTATGGAGAACAGAAAATCTTGCCTCTGTTGGAAATCAAACCATGGTTGTCCAGTCCATTGCTATAGGGACTGAGTTGTATGACTCTTTGTACTTCAAGAGATGCCTGGTTCAACCTTGACCTGGACAGTATCATGACTAAGGTCCTTTGTGATTATCCCCACTTCTATGTAAACATCAGGACAGTGCCTTAAAATTAAGCCAAAAAAAGTGGGCATTTGTCACATCTCAACTGCATTCTGGTTTTAATTGTCTTTAAATATTACTGGCTTGTAACCAGAAGATTGCCAGTGAATGAAAGTATTTTTTGTTCAAAGATCATTAATGTTGATCCCATACATTTTGCTTCCAACTGTGTTTAAACAGTAACTGCATATGTTATAGTCTATTGCAGATACAAATTTGATATTGTCACCACACCGATCATTGAACTTCATGTCAGTAATAATTTTTCTCCTTTTGCTTTCTTAAATATACGCCATGTCGAAATATGTAGGTCTAAATATTAACGGGGTTATTTTCTATTTTGTACTAATTTTTCTTAGATAAACTGTTAGAAAGCCAATAACGTTCAATTTAGGTTTCACGAAAATGAAATCTGAGTCATCGATACAAATTACATTCAACAACATTTTAGTGTATATTCCCAGCACCAAATTTAATCAAAATCTGTTTAACTAACTAATTAAGCACTACACCTTGATGACGTATGAGCAAGTGGATGTACAGATCCATATTTTCTTGACCTCAGCACCAGTTGGAGGTGAGTGGTCAGCTTCAAGCCCCGACAGCTTTACCCCCGGGAAAGAGCCACAGGTTCCCTTGTATAGGAGGTGGAGTGAACCCAAGAGCCGATCTGGACAACATGGAGAAGTGAAAATTCTTGACCCTACCGGGACTCGAATTCCGACCTTTCGGGCGTCCAGCCAGTTGTCGAAATCTGTTTAGCGATCACAAATATGTAATCTCTCAGTTATGCATTTGGTTTGCGGACTTAATACAAAGACGTATGCAATGTCGGTGAGTGTTTGCTGCCGGACTATATATACGTATTTCACGAAACTCCTAGTGGATAGGCTACGGCCTGGACAACTGAAGAACTGGGGGTTTCGGGAAGGCGCAGATTTTTCTGTGTTACTCTGCCCAGACCTGCTTTATTGTCGCCTCCAGCTTTCTGTGCAGTAGCTACTGGGGGCTCTTTACTCTTGGATAAACTAGGCGAGGCGTGTAACTAACCACTACATCCCGTGCGGAAGGTTTAGAGGGGCAACAATTGCTCTGTACGTCATTTCAGACATGTTGATTGTAAGATTTCTTGTTTCGTACCTTACAAGAAACATATTAGTCTCCATTACAGAAATCAGTCAGTTAACTCTGTTTATGGGGCACTATGCTACAAGCCGGAAGATCGCGGGTTCGAGTCCCGATGAAGTGATTTTTTTTCCATTTACGTATGTGACCCCAGGAAGTTCAGCCGGCCAGGGACTGCACTTCACTAAAAACTGGGTAATGTCAGTTATTCCTGCTAAGTCCTATCCATACTACGTCCTCGTCGTAGTCCTGGGGCAACGTTCATCGGAACGGCAAAGTATGGAAGGGTGAAAAGCGATTTTCCGGCGCTTTAATTGGAACTCACTGGCTAAGGGAGTAAACCCCGACAGAAGATCCTGGGTCCTCCACGGTAGCGGGGGTTAGTCGCAAGGCCAGCTCCCTTGCACTGTAAAAAAATCAAGTTGCTAAAAAAGCTCAACAAAGGATTGCCGGACAGATCAAACAGAGACATCTTACGGACATCAACCGACGAAGATGCCATGATTACAGATGGTACGAGAGCCGTGGTGAGACTCGCGCGGTTTCGCACGAGAACTGAGACCGTCCCAACCGAGGGTCCTCTTCCTTTCAGCACTTGCGGTAATAGAAAGCTACCTCTGTAACAGACCTTGGAGGCCCATAGGGTTGTGAGACGTCGAGGCTCCCATATTTTCCAAACAGTCGCTCATAGATGGCGGTGAGGTTGTCAGCCTTACGCGCCGGCCGCCCTT